CCATTGTACATGAAACTGTGAAATGGTATAAGAATATTTTCATTATACTTGTTGACCAATCAATATTTAAATATTTTATACTCTTCAAATAGATAACCTCTTCTCACTTTTGTCACATAAATCCTTTAGCCACTGTGGCTAATGCAATGAAATTCACATTAGCCACACACATATTTCATTAGTCACACCACTTAAAGTATTAAACTTATGTTAGTGTGTATATTGAAGCTCTTGAATGTAAATGTATTATAATTGTGGTATACAGTAGTAAAATGAAGCTGTGAATGTAAGAATGATAACTTTGAGGTATGTTATCAAAACAACCACCCCATCAACATTTATACTACATAATATATATATTGATCTGACTTCTTTTGACTTTCGTTTTCTTGCAGCCTGGAATGCCCTTTACAGAACTCGGAGTTGACCTAAGTAAGGCTATCTGTGATTGGATAAAATTACCCCTTCATTGTCTCAAGAAAAAGTTCCAGCATAAAAAATAGATAATTTTAGGCATGTGCAGGATGCCTATTCTACACTGGCAAAGCTGTATTAACATACGATAAACACAAACGGGAAATTAAACTGAAATTAAAATGTGTTGACAATTCATTGGGTAGTCTTAGTATTATATATTTATTTGTGTGGGTGAATTTCTATTCTCAATGAAGACGACAAACAACAAGGGCCGGATTAAGGGTTTATGAGACCTGGAGCTGAAGATTTCCAGTGGGCCTACTCACGCTTGTTCATATACAAGCAAATAAAGTGGCCATTGAGGCTTTAGATCTACCAAGCTATCATCAAATTAATATTATTTCAGGAAATGGCAATAATTTTTAATGACAACTAACCTGATAAGTTTTTGTAGAAGACAAGTTAGAAATCAATTTCAAGTTTTCATCACAGTGAGGCATGAGTATAGAATTTTTTAAAGGGTGGGGTTCATCCTTTAAAAGAGGGCACACATATAAGAACAATAATATATTTGTGATTTAACAAATGGATGCAAGTATATTTCAGAGGAAATTCACTGGTTCAATCAATATTCAATGTTGAAAATATAGGTTTTCACAATATACTTGTTTTAAATTTCTACTTATTAACCCACTAATTGCTTTTAACTTTTTTATGGTTGTGCTTGGTGATTTTTAGGTATAAGACACTGATAAATCTTCAAAGTAACATAATTCTTATGTATTAGGGCAATTTGATCTATGCATAAGGATAATTTCGAAACACTGTTCATTGGTATTTTGTTATCAAGACACACTGTAGTGTGTCATGCAGCCAAAACAACCTGGAGGACAAACTGTGTGTTATTAACAGAAGTGATAGTTTAGTGATTTTCCACTTTCTGTAGCTCAGACTGTGATAATCCAAACTATCACACATTTTCAGTGAATGCACTCTACTCAACCCTTACTTCACATATCAAATTTCCAGGCAATCCATTAAGCAATACACGAGATATAAAATTTCCACTTTTGGTTTTCTTTGCATCAAAAGTACCAAAAATTTATTTGATAGAAAAACATACTTAACTTTTATGGATTTTTTTTTCAAATTTGGTACACCGATAAAGCTTTACAACCTATAATTAGGTTTCAAATTTGGTCTAAATACAAGCTTCAAGTGCAAAGTTATTTAACAAAAACTGCTCAGTTTTGAACAAAATGTTTGCACATGCCTATGCAAAAAGTCATGTGAGCTGTTGGGCTAAAATATTTACTACAACTTCACCTAAGAGTAAAAGCAGACCATTTTTGTTTTGTTTTTCATTTGGATTAAAGATGGCTGATTTAGAGCAGCAAAACTATAAGGTAAAAGAACGTGCAAATACACGTGTATTGGTTAAGCCAAACAAACTAAATTAGCAGTTTCTTGCTCAAGTTTTCAAAAGAATCATATGGGTGGACAGATACTATTCTTTGCCAATTTTTAAGCATAAATTAGCTAAATGTTGTGTAGTTCTCCTAATTAAAGAACATTTAGCATCACATGGTATTAGTTAAAAGCAATTAGTGTAAATAATAATGCTTAAAACGGCTGTACCACATGCATGCAGGTGATGACAAGAAACTGTTAACACTCTCAATACGGGCTCAGTCAGTTTGACCGACCATGTGATCTTTTTGTACTCTTTTAAAGTCTTTATAAATTTACTACTTATAACTGTCAATATAGTGTGTATATCTTAACAAAATTTGGCAGACTTTCAGTTAATATTACAAGTCTTTCACACAGAAAAAATTATATTTTTAGTGAAGTATTTTTAATAAAATAAAATAAAGATTTCTCCATGAATATATTGAGTATTTGTTTTGAATAGTCCATGTGCAAAGTAATTTTCATGTTAAAATTAAAAATACTTTTCCTCATCTCAAAAATCTCAAATTTCCTTTGTGCATTCCATAAAACTTCCTAAATGCATTTCAAACGGTTTTTTTTAGTAAAACTTTATAGTTTATCTGTTATTTTCACTACCCTATCTCAAAACAGGATCGGTCAAGTCAACCAACCTTGTACAAACCAAAAAAAACAAAAAAACATCAAAATAAACCTAGAATAACTTCAAATGGTAACAAGAAATTACATTCTTTTATCCTAAGTAGTTCTAAGTTCATAACAGTATACATCTATCTATAATTACATTTTATTGTTCTATTGCCTTTTTAACCATGTCTAACTACTATCCACACCATTATAAGATGTAAATCACTAGGATAATGTGCAAGTCACATTACGCTATCAAATTACATTACCCACGAGCGGCTCGCGTATGTGCCTCGTGAACCATTTAAATTATACTATTATTATTACTTATTTTACCTAATCTAGTCTTAAATAAGTTCAAAAGATCTGTATTTTTAGATTTAGTTACTTTTATAAATTATACATAAAGAATAAACATGAAAAACAAGAAACAAAATACTTAACCAATCTTCTTTTTTTCTTGCTATCCGTTTTCAAAGAGAGTTAACCCTAATTTTTTATACTATAGATAGTAATGCACTTAATAATTGTTATTTAATCAAATAATGCACCAAAGAATGTAGACTAATAACATGCAAAAAGTAGACAAATTCCCTTACCTCTTAAAATTTTTCTAGCTTTCTAATTATGCAACAAGAGCCATTACAAATTCATCCAAGCTAGTTGTTAACTTTCTCATGGGAAGGATGTTGGTACTTTGAGTGAAATTAACATTTAACTGTTCAGAAAATAATGTTATACATATGTCGTTTGATAGATGAAAACCTTGACTTTCTATTGGTTATGGGTAATATATAATTAAACATAAGAGAGAACTATTTATGAACTATTTATTGTCTGAGCAATAACAATTATATAGTTATTTATATTTCATTTTGTACATTTTCGAGAGGTGATGGATAAAATAGGGATGATTCCATGCTATGACAAAATGTGTCACATGGGTCACACTAGTGGAAATTTAGGATTTTTTTTAAATACTGCTTTGTAGAATTAAGAGCTTAAAACTTGTATACTATTAAAATATAGATTATTAGCTTAGATTGTATGCTATTCTAATTGGTATAACCTAAAAAGTAGTATAATAAAATTTTGAATGTAAGACACTAAAACCTTGTGTCATGCGCAGTAAAGGATACCCAGCGTGATAGGGTTAATCTAGTTTCCATGGTGTTACTATAAAGAAAGTTATTAACACCATATATTTTAAAGAATCTGGTTGGTTCTGTAAAGTATAGATCTGTTCCAAATAATAGGGTTGCGATCCTAAAGATAATGGTGGTTACTACTGTGTGTCACTTTCTTACTTGCTTTGGATTGTTGGTGTGTCCACAAAAGGTCACGATATCTAATCAAAAAGACCTTAGGTGTGAAAAAAAGGGTGCAGCGAAAAAAGGATTCAGCAAGCAACTTGAAGGAATGAAATCAAAATTGGCAGCCAAACTGGTAAGCTGCAGTTATAGTACTTATAAGAATTTTAGAGCCAATATATATTCATTAGTTAGCTTGGCCATGCATTTTGTTTTACCCATCATCATGCCCTAATTTGAACAAAAAACACAGCCTGACTAACTATTGAACAGGAGCAAACCTGGCTTCCCATACAAAATGAAAAGCACTAACAAAGACTACTTTACACAAGGATGCACTTCACATCCTCAATGTGTTTTCACTATCACTCAAGCTCTTGAGGATAGTGCTCATGACCCTTATTCAACTCACCAACAGAAAAGACAGGAAAGACAACTATTTCTGAATGTCACATGTTATCTTCCCTGCAAGAAAGTCAGTTAACTGCCAGTTAGTGAACCCAAATTTTGTATGCTCTCAAAATAAAGAAAATTAAAATGTTACTGGAATAATTCTCTGCATCCAAACTGTGAACTCTGAAAAAATGCAAAGATTTTGTCAAAAAGAATTTCATTTTAAGTATGAAGTTAAAGTAGGCACATAGTAGCATCCTGTACTACAAGTGACATGTACCACAGGTACGATAAATATTAAACTATTCTCTATTTCTGATCTCAATAAGTAATACTCACCACTAATAAATATTAAACTATCTACCCTTAAATACAGCATTTCTAATTTCATTAAATAATACTCACCACTGATAAATATTAAACTATCTATACTTAAATACAGCATTTCTAATCTCAATAAATAATACTCACCACTGATAAATATTAAACTATCTACCCTTAAATACAACATTTCTAATCTCAATAAATAATACTCACCACTGATAAATATTAAACTATCTACCCTTAAATACAACATTTCTAATCTCAATAAATAATACTCACCACTGATAAATATTAAACTATCTACCCTTATATACAGCATTTCTAATCTCAATAAATAATACTCACCACTGATAAATATTAAACTATCTACCCTTAAATACAACATTTCTAATCTCAATAAATAATACTCACCACTGATAAATATTAAACTATCTACCCTTATATACAGCATTTCTAATCTCAATATATAATACTCACCACTGTCCCAATAGGAAGTGAACTGTAGCATCAGTTGGAGTGAGCTCCAAAGCTCTCTTAAAAAAAGTAAACAAAAGACAGGTTTAGTAACTGACAAAAGAAGTTTTTTTATACAAATGTTTCCACTTCAAGAGCACATACAAGTAATTGTCATACAAATTGTGCAAACAGCATCTTCTATATATCTCAGTTAACAGAGTTAACAAAGATTTTTAAAACAACAGATGGTTCACAAGCATGTTTTGTATTAAAAAAAGCACGACAAACAGAAGATCATTAGCCAATGTTACAATCAGAACTCATGTACAAAAGTATATTTTAATCAAATCATTAACTCACTACTCATATTAGTAAATCATTCATATGATAAGACTTTCTACTTTACAATATGTCATTTAAATCAAAATTCTTTAAGATAGTGTAATAAAAACATCTGCATACACTAAAAAATGCACATCTCAGAGTATATATCAAAATATTACTATATTGGTAAGGTTAATATAATAAGTCAATATAATCTTGGTTTTCATACCTCAAAATGATGGCGAACGTCAACAGATTTTGAAATTCTATCCTTAATACTTCTGTATCTCATAACATAGTCTGTCAAAATAGCACACCACTGAAATACATAAAAAATGAAAAGTTAATAAGAGTAAGTATACCAATAACATATAAAGTGAAAACAGAAGTTAACAGAGTTAGTACACCAATGAAACACAAGAAAAAAAGAGAATGTAGTTAGTACATCAATGAAACACAAGCAAAAAGAGAATAAGAGTTAGCATGCCAGTGAAACAGGCAAAATAAAAGAATAATAGTTAGTAAGCCAATGAAACATGTAAAAATTAAAATTTTCCTATACCAAAAATATATTTCCAATAATACCTCTTCTCACACTTTAGCTTTATTCCAATGAAAGTTTCTCTTCCCTGCCCATATAAGCATTGGTAAGAAGCTTATCTCACTTCCTTCAGTCTTTATACCTCACTATATTGCCCAAAGCAAGTTAAATCTTGTGATTCTCCCCATCTACATAAATGCGCCCCTATCCCAGATCCATATATAAGCTCCCCATTATTACTTCCAATTTACTTTTTGAGATGGTCCAATTAGAAGACATGAAACTGGCCACTTTGTGGGTTGGAAGGGTGAGAGAGTGCAAGGTGATTGGAGGTAAGTATTATTGGAAATACATTTTCTATATAGAAAAATGTTAACTTCCAAAATACACCTGTTCTGACACTTTAGCTACAATCCCAAACTGACAAGATGGAGGGGCCAGTGAGGGTAATATCCACACAGAAAGCATCTAAAAGAGGTGTGAAAAAATGAGATATAGTAATAGCACACTAGTAGGGTCCACACTACTTCTGGAACAGGTATGCTCTTTGCCCAGACAACATGAAATCTAATTCCTTGGCAGTAAAGGTGGACTAGCCACAGAGGCAAAATCCTAACATTGTTAGAAGAGCATGAATTTGGCTAGGCCCCAACAAGGCAAACAAGGTCCTATGTCTTGTCATTGAAATCATAGGGCTGTGGACCCAAATCTAAATTGCAGGTATAGTGGCTAGGGCATGAGGATTGTTTTATATTTGGTCCTGTTTAGTAATGTGGCATTATTGGAACCCAACCTGATAGTTACAGAATGTTGCATGTTGAACCACCAGAATTATGAAAAAAGGCAAGCAACACAAAAGAGGAGAAACCCTTGCCCCAACCTAAAGAAGCACAAAATGCAACAATACAAACTCAGAATTCTGGGACCTGTCACGCTTCACTCAACCTGAAGAAACAGAGATTACCCAGTCTGGGATTACAAATCGAAATTCTAACTCCCCGACTTGAGAGGTAAGGCAACACCTCCTGCCCCTGGAATTAAAAGGAGATGTGGATCAATCTAAGTACAACCAATGGCAAAGAAATTGCCACTCTGCATTAGGTATTATAAGGAGTCAAGGACCCTCTTCCACGATCATCAAAATGAAAATAATGACCAAAGAGAAGGGCCACCAGATAGAGAAGAGTCATCTCTGAACTGGAATACGAAGAGGCTCCTGTGTAGGCTGGTCCTGCACATACCATACATCTGGGAAAACCATCCAGTTTTATTGATAGGAGGGCACCCAGCTTTGCCCTCTTCTCCACCAACTGGAAACTGGAAGTGGTAAGGACTCCAGAGAGAGTACAATAGGTGAACCACATTCCCTATTTTGAAAAACAAACTGACCCTGATTTATTTAATCTAGGGGTCAGCAGGGATGGGTAAAATCCCCTTAAGCTTCACTTGACCATCTATGAATGGAAGTCCAGTAGTGTGTTATAACTGTATACCATCCATAAAGGTCTTATGGAATACCCAATCTCAACAGAGCTCATTGCTACCAGGAAAGTTGTTTTTTTTATCAGCCAACTAGTAGCTAGTGCAAATTTGGAAAGAAGCATACATGACCAGGCAACACCCACCACCGAGTGGGATCCAAATGAAAATGATGAAAGCGTCCATGAAAAAGAAGAGAAATAGACACAAAATATTTCTGAGATTGCTTTGAAAAACTATTACTCAAAATTTCATCAGGAACTGTCTAAAGTGTAGATATAGCTAAAGCCATTCAACATTGAAAATAAACCCACAGCAAGCATGTAAAACTGTAATCTTCTGCTGTTGAAAAAAATTAATAGGAAATAATAATGTGGTGCTTATATATGGAACTGGGATAGGGGGTTCATTGACATAAGTGAAGAGAATCACAAGATTTAACTTGCTTTGGGCAATAGAGGAGGGGTATAAAGACTAGAGCAAGTTAGGTAGATTCATACCAATGCTTAGATGAGCAGAGAAGAGAAACTTTCATTGGGAGTGGATGTAAGTGTGTTTCGGAAAAGAGTTAGTACACCAATGAAATACAGGCAAAGAGAGAAGTTAATAGAGCTAGTGTACCAATGAAACACAGGCAAAAAGAAAAATTAATAGAGCTAGTACACCACATACACACTGTAACAGGAAGTTCATGTAAATACAGATCAATATTATAACACTAACACAGTCCATAAGTATCTCATATCATATTACTGCAGCATGAAAACACAACCCTTATAAACAGCAGAATCCCATAACATAAAATTAATAGTGTAAATGGATGTATTGTATAACACTTTGATGTGAATAATATATCTATAAAGCATAACATGCCAACATAAATAGAAAATTAACAATAACAACAAAAGTGAAATATGAAGAGCAAGACAACAAAAGCAAGACAGTATCATTACCATATAAATACAGGTATATAACTAGTGTGTAAAAAAGCTATGATTAAGGATTTATCAATTATAAATCATTAAGGTTTTACACGAGTTAATGCTACAAATTTCTGCCCTTCACTAACTACTTATACTTAGAGGTAGCAATAATGCATAATTTGCTACCTGAGTAGTAGGTAGGCAGAGTAGGTAAGGTCACTCTATACAGTAAATGGAGAGTGTCAACTGAAGGCTGTTTACTAATGTTCTTCAGAAGATATAATGCACCTCTTTGATAAAACTGAATGGTTAAAAAAAATATATTCAGTAGCACAAATAATGAAGTAAGAAATATCTTACACAGAACAAATAGTACAATTGGCAAGAATATGAGAAACATTTATTTCATCTTTATCACATACTGTGAATAAAAGGTGTATTTATGTTATTTATCTCAAATTCAGATCACTTACACTGTAATAAAATGCTTTACTGCTTGATAATACATGTTCAAACAAACTGATTATACTTTACTGTACTTACTATATTCATTGTTTATGTTTTCTCTAGGTACACCTCTAAATATATGTGAAGCATTTTTCCAATTAGTTTTCATTAGAATACCTTATATAAATCAAATATATAGTTATATTTTGATATCAAGCAGTGAAAATGCTCACTCAAAGTTCATTATTTCATTTTATACATAATGATTATAAACATAAGAATAAATAGAAAAATACTGAAATAAGGGTTTACAGGAGTACAACACAGACCTCCATAACAATGAGAACAGAGTTTGTTTGTCTTACAAAGACTCAACAATCACCAGATCTTTCTAATCTCTGCTTCTTTCTGAAACCTTGCATCAGTAGACAAAAGCAGTGATGAGTTAGATGTTTGTAATCAGTCTTTGTATTTTGTAACAGTGCTTTCAGATGTCTTTTATTGTCCAAGGTTACTGATGAGTGGTGGAATTCCTTGAAACTGTTATAACTCTGAAACAATTGTAAGTTGAATGACAGATATGGTTTCACCTTTATTCTCAGTCTTTATATTATTCCACAACATTACTATTTTTCAACCTTATATATAGGTATACAGAGGGTTGAGCATGGTATATGAAACTCAAGTCACTTGACAACCACACCTGAAAGAGAGTTGCAGTGGAAACAAAATTTATCACAACTACATTTTAATGTTTTTTTTTAGCATTTGAGTGTGAAGCCACCAAAAATTTATCAAATACTAACATAAAATATTCATACACTCAGGTCATAAATTTCCAGTATGGGGAGATCCCTTGTATTTAATGACATTGGAAAACAAAGGAACATACATTAACTTCAGGAACCATGATCACCCAGAAAGAGGTCTGAAAGAAATTATACACCAGCAGTTGGAAACAAAGTGCATTGTCGTGTAACAGGTGAGAATCCATAATCACAAATGACAGTGAAAAAGTCATCATGTGCCCCAAGCAACAGTATGCAACATAATCAAGAAGAATCACCATCTGGAAAAGTAAAACAAGCCATTTGTACCCAAATTGCTTTCATAACACATCCATTTAAAATGAGCAGAGTGTACCTCAAGCAGCTAAAAAATGAAACAATTGTTCACAGTAATCCAACATACCCGTGAAGTTGCTAGACACAGTGCCTATGGACTTCTGTGTGATTGGCCTGTTGAAACAGGCACTGGGAAACTGTCATCCTTGTACATTTTATGATTTATGGAAAGCAACAGGGAGGGTAGTTGTGCTTTGAAAATGACAGCCTTGTAGTGAATCCTTTTGCAAAGAAAACTATGCTGCTAGGCTATTTTCAAGTGACACAGTCGTAAGACAGTGCGTCAGGTTTAAAAATAATAATATTATATATACAAGTTCTTCTTTCTGCTAACTTCAAAATAAAAGGGTTTTAGTTATATTTCTTAATAGTATAAATATATACTATGTTGTTGTTGGGCTTAGGGTTCTTCAACAGTAGGTGTCTGTGACTTGTTAGTGTTAAATTCAATGATGAATAAACAGCACACACACTTGTTTTCAAATAATATATATTCGGAACAAGTTAAACATATGTACAAAAAAGTCTTCACACTATAGAGATTGCAGGCATATCATAAACACTATTATTTATATAGTTCTCTTCTTCTTGTCAAAAGTCCACTTAGGCCTACTCAATTATTTTAGAATTTCAGTTGACAAGTCGAATTATCTTCTCTATATTACCATCGTACTAGCATTCTGTGTGTGCTTCACTTACACTTTACAGTTGTGGTGCAAGTTTCCGTAATTGATTTGGTCTTCTTTCTTCTGATTATCCTCTGCTTCTTTTGTCAAAGTGTACCCAGGCTGATTCAATTACTTTA